CGAGGCTATAGATATTAAGTTTCATATTATGTAAGATTAAGATTGTCGCCCGGTTAGATCGTTACCAGTTAGAGAGACGGATTACCTAACGCAGACTGTAGCTAGATTGAAACATTATTATTATGGGCTGTACAGAGATAAGATTCATGTATTCTCCAATCTTACTATTGGTTTCTATAGCTATAGTACATACGGAGTGTATAAAGTTTTTCTTTTATTTAGAGAAGATGTATGGCTGAAAGATTGGAAACGCCCTAAATGTAGTTTTACGATAGAAACCTGTGCTAAGTGTATATAGTTTTAATTTGTCAAATCGTTTTGTATAATGTGTTTTAGTAAACAATGTGGTTATCGCTGCATGACAACGTCGTTTGTGTCGCAACAGCTCGAAGCCTAGGCCGAGATACAAGCCCGCAGATAGTCGTATTTGCGGCTTGCAAAAAGCTCGGCGTGGGTCGGCTGCACCTACTGCACTTCTAGTTTTACTGTGTCAAGAACAACGCCTCTCGACCCCCACCCCGCGGCTATAACAACATTATTTTGTCACCTGCGATCAAAAACCACCGAAAATAATAATACCTACGGCATTACGTTTTATATGTACCACGAACGCTTCACACCGCATACCGCACGCAGCTTAAGTGGGCTAAAGAAACAAAAAATATTTGCAAAAACCCTTTAGTATTTAACATGCAAATAACGATCAGGTTCACAAATACATGTCCCATTTAGGTTCCGCTAATACGGTACGAATATCAAAACGATGACGTGGATAAGTTAGCAAAAAAAAAAACTCTTTAATTTTTGACCTTCCATTGGTCCTTGGCATACAAAAAACATATGAGCGGACAAAATGATTCAGACGCTTTGATAATTCCGTTTTTTATTTGGGAGCAGCCGACGATTGTTTTAATTTACAGTTAGAATAATGCCGCAAAACGAAACAGCCGTGACTCACAAGAGGTGCGATTTGAGAGAACACGGAGACAAGTACGTGCCGATTTCAACGGACAGACAGCAATTACCGACGGCCCTTTGTATGAATATCGGACATAACTTACTATGGTGTGTTTAAGTCGCTAATTATATGGTAAATTGGCCGTACTGATTGATACAACACTGTATTTAACACAATACCTTGAAATACAATAGCATTTTATTTCAAATATATAATTTGTGACCGCAATTATGTGTGATTTTTGCATTATGTATAGTGCAATAAGAATACTAGCGATTTATACGAGCCTTAATTCATTTCTTTGAATATCGACATTATTTATCTCAAGTCTGATGATAAATGAGCTACGGACAATGACTAACTTGGTAGACATGTTATTTTTAATATATAATACACATTATTTCTTATAAATCCTCATAAATCATATGGCTGGTCGTTTCACAACTAGTAGTACTAATGGCAAATCAAAGTTTTTGTATGAAACGTGTACAAATAATAAGTTCCTTGTTGTGATTACGTAACGTACGATCACAATATGTTGTATATCGTGATGGCATTAAATGCCATGCCATTATAAACGGACAGACATCGCCACATTACCATATAATATTTGTTAAGTACACGATAATCCGAGTAGCAAAAAGCTAGCCATAAATGCTCATGACAGGTTTACATACACGTATATGGGATGAACGTGATATTATTTAAACATTTTGTTCAATTCATTTGGGAATGATATTTTTTTACAACGATTGAAGCTTTGTCAGAACTTATTTGACTTTACCTATTTTTTGTGGAAAACAAAAAATTCAAAGCTATTATTATTGGTTTATATTATATGCATACAAGAATATATTGTTAAATAATTATTGTTAAAACTTATTTCTTTTAAATGAATAATGTTTCCTTGTTTTGTCCTCGATTTTATCTTTAATTTTCTTTTCGTATCTTTAGATAACAATATACAGTAACATGAGGTCGGTTAAAAATAAGTGAAAAACTTATCTTTAATTAACATTATATTATTTATTAAAATAATAATTGAATTTAATGAATTAAATGAATATAATAATGACGTTGTGTTCAAAGCATTTTCTTGTTAAACCGTCATTATATTCAAATTACCAGCCGGTGTTGTAATACAAGCGTCAAATAATATTATCATACAAATTAAACATTACAAACTGGATTTCAACTGCCCTCTTGTAGTTTACACAAAGTAATAAAACATTATATGTACTATTATATAAAGTACACTTGTTTGTACGCCAGTAAATTCCTTTGAGGTTACTATGGAGCATTCAGAATCGAACTTACGACCTGCGGTATATAGAATCCTAGACACTTTTTAAATTCAACCATCATGACAATCAATTTTTTATATATAAATTCAAATTTAAAAAATAAGTCGGTACAAAATTTAATAAGAGAGTCATTATACTTTTATAGAGATGTCGCTTTTAATAATATTTATATTAGTATAACTGTTTGATCTTCATTGTTTAAGAAAACTCAAATTTAGAATAAGGCGTTTTAATAACATAATTAAAAGAATTAAACTAATACTATTCGGATTACTAATAATATTATTATTTTTAACGGGCAGACGAGATGTCTGTCGTGTTCACGGCTGCTGAAAAGTAACTAAAACTTCAGGAGTTTGTAGTTTTAAAATTACAAAATACGCGTAGTAATCCTAATAATATTAGTTTCATTTAAATGAATACTCGTGAAAGTCTTAGATCTCATTAATTTATCGAATACGAGTTTACTTGTATGTCCGTCTGTTCGTTTTAACAAGCATTTAACACATAAACCATACATACATTGATGTATTACAATAAAATTGATACGTCAACTCTTAATAGCCTCTCGACGGCCGTGTGACACAGCCCACTGAAGGACAGGTATCACTTTCACGTAATTACATTTAATTATAAACAAACTTCACGATATTTTTATCTGTTAATATATGTGACATTACACGGAAAAAGGATTTTATTTATATTGCATCGCTCAAACTTACCGGAAATGTTTTTTATGTATAAAATGATAAGTATAATGTTTCCGATGACACACTTAAAAATAAAAACGTAGAGGGAAAGTGTCCCATATAATAAAATAATAAATTAAATAAACATAATTTACAATTGATACAAAAATTTTATAGTTATTTTATATTTATGCCTGTATAAAATTATTATAATAATGTCTCAAATTTAATGAGTATTTATGATAAATTAATGAAAAAAATTAATTAGGGTACATTCACACTATATTAATATTCAATCATCTGTATCAACCCTTATTGATGTAAACAAACAGACAGACATCAATTAATACACATATGCACGCATTACTCACCCAGGAAAAAACTATAAACAACTGTGATTAAAAATGTATAAATTGAATTATTATAAGAAAAAACTTAAACAATTCAATTAGCGTCTGTTTATTATACAGGGAATGAAATTATTAATAATATTCAAGGAAAAAAATATACAAAAAAATAAATTAATTATACAATTAAGTTGAGCGTTAGTCAGTAATCAATTATCGTTACTACTAGTAAAGAATACGAGAAAATTATTTACATTATTACAAGTTTGATACGTCAACCTAAATAGTAAACACTGACAGTATTCAGTTAAATTCATAAAACTTAGCATACTTATAAACATAGGTATAATCTGAAAAATACTACTCAATAGTGAGATCAAGACTTTCGCGAGTTTTATACATTTAAATGAAACTAATATTTTTCGGATATACTACGCGTGCTCTATTTTTGTAAAACTACATACTCCCGATGTTTCGGATGCTTTTCAGCAACCGTGATCACGGGCAGACGAGATGAGACGAGAAAATATGCGTAGTATATCCGAATAATATTAGTTTCATCTAAATACTACTCAATGGAATTGCATGCATTGCAAGTCAGTAGTGGCCTAGTGATTAAAAGGCCTTCTCCTCATGCATGAGGACGAAGGTTCGATCCTGGCAATGGCAAGTACCAATGTGATTTTTCCGAGTCATATGTACTTTTTAAGACTATTTAGACATGACTGATTAATACATTCCCAAAGAGGGTTGATGTCAGGCAGGCGGCCGGTCGTAAAAACAATTAGCCAAAACTATTCACAACATGTAAGGAAGACCCTGGCTATAGCTGGGAAATTGCCAGGTAGCAGAAGAAGGCTACTCAATATTTAATTCGATAATCCGAACTCGTGGTAAGGCCATGGACGTGACATTTGACGTTTTTTACCGTTACGTAAACAGCGGCTTGACAATTGGATCGTGTTCATAAATCGTAGTTAAGATATAGATCTAACACTCTTTGATTTTATACGACAAAAAAATTATATAGCTTAGGTAAAAATTTTAATGTATTTCTTATACTAAAAAAAAACATTATTTAAACCTTTGAAAGATTGATGGCGTTAATGAAATGCGCTATTTTTATAACTACTCTAATTAAGTATGTGTTTAATGCTGACAATTTTATTAAAAAATATACGAACGTTAGTGGTGAAAATTATTAATAATGAATTTCCCGCTAAAACATATAATTACTGGTCGTAAATCGTAATATTTTTATAAATTCAATTGAATTACCGTGATACAACAAATTTCTAAATAATTTATTGTTATTGTAGTGAAAGTTACTTTTTTGCGTGCTCGTTTTGTTATATAAAATACGAATAATTTAATTAAATGAATAATAAGAATTATTTTGGAACAAAAATGAAATATATTTTATTAAAACCTAAATCAGTTCTTGTAATATTTATTATGTATAATTAATTTTACGTTCAAGAACGTTACGTAATTAATTAACAACAACGCCATCTATCGGCAAATTGTGAAAATAAATACTAACTACAACAGCGCCTATATAGAAGATGAAATGTTTCATCTGATTTCAATAGATGGCGCTTTCATACAATATGACACCACTTAGCCTAATCTTTATACAACAAATTGGAGTGGAAGTTAATGAGTGGAAAATCTGTTAGTATTGCTATTATAGTAATATATGTTACCTGTCACGTTCCCTGCTTCGGCTTCGTTTCCTATATGAGTCCTCCCTGCACGCCTCGTCTAAACGTCGCCTCTTAGCCTCGTAAGACCTAGACCGTGATCTTGAGTGTGACGCGTAGTGCTTCCTACGAGTACGCGGCATCTGTAAACGTAGGATGAACCATTGTAGTAATATACAACAAAAACCAAACAAATTTCCCATCATGTACCATGATCATGGTATATTATTGTGAGCCATAATGTATGCAACTGTTGAATAATATACATTTAACAATTGCTTTACACACAAGTGGCAATGATGTTAGACAAACCAAAGCGCGAAATTATAGTTTCAGCACAAAATGTTCTTTTTGACTATATGTATAACATATTAAATATTTATATATGAGATTGGCAGATCTCTATGTAAGACTTGTTAATTCTAAAATTACTAGAATAATATACAAGAAACAATAATTTCTAATTTAGTTATACAATTTTTTGGCCACAACAATTACGGTATGGAGTATAAGAATACATTAAGCTTTAACACTGTATTCCCTCTAAAAATATGAATTTATATTCATGCTTATTTAGAAGAAGTCATGCAATAGTATACAGATATGTCTGATAATGGATAACCCAATTTTTGTTATGTTATGAATTAAAATAATTTAGATAAATGGTAGCATTTAAAGGAAATGGCATTAACATGTTTTTTTCTATACTTTAGGAAACTAACAGAGTCAAAATGGAAAAAAGAAGTAGGAAATTTTTAAACAATTATTTTTTATAACTCAATGTTGCTTATGGTGGATTAAAAATGTTGAAAACCTTGTTATTTAAGGAAATTTACATATGATAATTAATATAATGAAAAATAGTATAAAATCATGATGATATTAAATTGTTTATCAAAATAATTAAAATAAATTATAAGATTACATTATAATAATTCTGATAGCAACTTCGTCGGTATAAAAATTTTGCAACTATATGTACATGCAAACAATTACCAAGAAAATGAAGTGTCACTACATTCTTTCACATAATGCAATCTGTATCATATTTTTAGTCTCATAATATTTCCTTTTTGTATAAAACAGTATATCAAAACCGAGAAACTGCTTTTCTGGTTAGCATTTTATAATGCATACTTATAGGAAAAGAATTTAAAAGATTATTGCAAAATAACTTTAATATGAGATCTCATGTAATTATATTCATTTATAGGCAATTCTAATTATTTCTCAGTCTATATTGTTATAACAATCCATCTTTTGGTACATGAAATTTTCAATATGAGTCCAAATATGTCTATATCACAAATATATTTTTAATCAGTGAACTTTAGTTTTTCCGAGGTTGATGTTATTTTCAAGGTCAAAAGTATTAATTAAGGAAGTTTTAACAAAAAATATACACTAGTTTTATGTTTTAAATGTTTTATTGAATTACAAAAACAGCACAAGAAGATTGAAGCTTAAAGAGAAATATTTGAAAGTGAAATTAGGTAAAAGTGATTTGATTAGTATGAGAGTTTCTTCCAGGCTTAATTGTCTTCAATTTTATATACAAGTAAATTAATAAAGCGAGAAATTTTGTTTATAAATATTTGCATTATGTGAAAGTAGATATTAATCTATAATGAAGCGATCATGCAAATTTACATTATAAGGATACTTCTGCCACATATGTATTAAATCAAATAGGAAGGCACATTAGGTACTTCCACTTACCATAACAAGGATACCAAAACTCGTATCCAAGCAGTAAAAGCTGAAAAACATTAAAGTGTTTAGACCGTTGGTATATGGTCATAGTATGTTATATTAACCCACATGCATATAGGACCAGAACTATTGTATGTTTAGCATTGATATTGGCCACTATCATTAAAACAATCCACATATACAGTGGTTATACATAACTATTATACCTCAAATTAGTTAACAGTATACATATCAAGTACTAGTAAATATAAAGTGCATGTATAAGATGTTAAAAATATTGTATACAAGTTAAATATAAAATAATTTCTATATATATACTTTGGTTTTATTCTGTGAGCACTGTCACTTATGTAGACCTTAGCTAACACGGCAGCTGTATTTTAATACATCGAAGTATATTTGGTGCAGAAAGCTACAAAATTTTACTAAAAACTGTATGAATTAAATCACTTTTTATATAAATTCTTCTGGGTAAAAATAATCAATAATAAAATATCTCATGCTGCCAAAACTAGATGTCACTAAAGTTATTTACATGCTGACGCCATGTTCGTTCTACGACTTAAGGAAGCCCTATGTTCGAGAAAAATATACAATTAAAAAAAACATTTTAACTCACCCTCAATTCACGTAAATATTTCAGTTTACACCAGAGCAGTTGAGTAAAATTAGTTAAACAATTCCAAGTTCGCGATGCAGAACCTTGAAGAATGCTTCTCCGTAATAAAGGCCCGAACATCGATCCAAATGCGAGACAGCCAATATTTGAATGTTGGCAATACCACTTTGGCGTTAAGTTCGCCAAAATCGCTTCCTGATAAAAAAAATAACTAATAATGATATAAAAATATATTATTAAATAAGTAATTCCTAATCATCGTAAAAGAGGAAATAAAATTGTCATAAAATATTAAACGTATATCTTAATGTTCGGAAGCAAGGGTGCCATATTTAAAAAATAAAGTTGTGTAAAGATTATACGTTCAGAAATTGATTGTTTTTTGAAATATTAAGGTTTAGATTATTTTTATACATGTTAAAAATATTGACTTTTGAGCAATTCTTTAATTAAATTAAGATTTTAAAAAAGTTGTTAAACAAACTTGATAATACATTCATGACATTAGATTCAGCTTAAATATATTTATAAATAAAATATTACCAGTGCATTTGTTTTTTAAAAAAACCAGTTTTTAATGTAAGATATTTTTTTAAATTACTGAAATGTGTATAAATTGTTTCTAGTGGCATAGTATATATAACCCAATTTAGCAGTCAATATCTCTAACCATTTTTTTTTGTTATAATTTAATGTCACTTTATGACAATGAATTGTTAGGTGTTTGACGTTGTCTAATATGGCCGAACATCCAAAATGGTAGATTAAATATTTTTAATGTTCTGCGATGTGGTTTGAAAACAAAAAGTCTTCCTGAGTGTAAAAGGCTCCTTTTCAAAAACTGTTTTTTATTAAAACACATGTATATTAGTAATGACAAGTTTACATGTTTTTTTTTTATTATAATGATTTAGGATAAATTCTCTAATTCAACTTACAGTAATTGGGTACATTAGTAGCATTGATGATGATTGTTAATGATTATATTTTTTGCCACAAAAGGAGGGGTGTTAAAATTTAGACCAAGAATCTTTGGTGTTAGTGTCTGTATGTATGTCTCTGGCATAGTAGCTCTCAAACGGCTTGACCTATTTCGATGCGGGTTTTTTTAATGTAAGCCAGATTTTGGTGAAGTGTTTTTTTTTGTTATGTAAACTTTAATTTAAAAAATTATTTCATTTTAAAAGTATTGTCAGTGTTAATAATTGTAATTTTTGTTTTATAATCATTATGTTTTTTCGATTTTATTAGTTTCGTGTCCAATTTTATTAAGCATTTTTTTCTTTATTGTTACCTAAGTATGAAATAAAATTTAATTATTAACAAAAAATAAGTTTGTATAATCAGTTAATTTATTTTTTAAATTAAGAAAATATTTTTACATATTTAGTAAACAATTTTTTACTACATCAAATCTGTATAGTTTTGTGTACATTTTTTATTTTCTTTTGTTTTACTCAGTACAATAATATTTATTATCATTAAGTTTATGTACTGTTAACGTAATATTATTATGGCACTACTTGTTTGGTTCATAACACTTTTATTTATATAGAATTTAAATGAAGAGTTAAATTACTCAACATTATTTTTAAAGTTTGTTCATAAGTCACAAATACTCACCGTTTTTTTTAGTTTATAGTCCTACAAATATAATATCACAAAACTTTCAAACTATACAATTTTTTTATTACAAGAATTGTGGTTTTAAATGTTTATAAACATTAATTGTTATTTAATATTCAGTGTCCGTGTACGAATAACATATAGAACTGACTGTGTTTAAAGATGCGAATTGTGATAAGATTATTAAATTCATATCTCCTGTTTGGAGCATAATCTTTGATATCGTTTGTGTAATCTAATTTTTTAGATAAAAAAACAAAAACCATTGATTATAGGTAATTGTAAAGCCCTTGAATATTCTATTCGATCAGGACTTTATACATACGTCAATGTATTTACTATTGAGCCATACTGAGTTTGGTGGTTCGATCCGATTTTGGTAAAGTTGGACGTAATTTAAATAAAACTAAGGTTTTTAGACGCCTTATTTTATTATTCTTATTACGACTACGCGTATTTTTATTTTTATGGACTATATTATCGCAGTTAGTAATAATTTATCAGCATTCAAAACAATTCATTAATCTTGTAAACGAATAAAATCTCTCTTTGAAGATAATTTGTTCTATGTATGGAGTAACATAACCTTATTGTTAAAATAATTAAAATTTATCATTATTTTAATAACATAATATCGGAACCTGGTCATTATATCTCCGGATTCAGCGCTGCCTACTTTTAAAATTTACCTTTAATTATCAGGTTTTGCAAACACACGTCTTTATTTGTATAGCGATAAGGTTAATTCTGGCACAACAACCTGAAAACATAATAATATGGACATAGCGTCTACAAGTCATAATAACCATTTAAATCATACTTAGTAGGGATATATTGACTACTATATTTTCAATTGGAGAATTTATTTATAACTTTAAATATTTTATATCATTAGTATTATATAGTATGTATTTGGATGTTAAATGATTTTTATTTAGATCTCCCCAAAAATATAATTTTTTAAATTATAATTTTTTTTGTTTGGAAGATCGTATTAGAGGTGAAGGTTAATAATACACATCCTTTGTGTTGCATAATTTTAATATATGAATTTTAAATATGAATACCAAAATAAAAATAAAAATCTAATATGTTGATATGAATACTTCAGAAAGATTTTTTTCAGATAAGAAATAAGAAAAAATATAGTAATTATAATTATTAATATAGTTTTTACCAAAATACATAAATCGTAAAGGTTCTAATGGAAAGCAACATCGTAAACATCCGTTTTTACTCAATAAATTAGGTTAATACGCGAAGATTTATGAATGGAAAACTGTTAACGCTCTCTATAGCGTAACTAAAGACTTGGAGACTTGGAGTAAGCATAAATAGGAGTGAGCAGTCATTTGGAAAAACAAATAGCGGCATTGAATAACGTTCCTTAATTTATAACTGCTTCGATAATTTTTTAAACATTATATTCATACTTAAACAAGATAATAGTTCTTCACATCTCGTCTGCCCGTGATCACGGTTGCTGAAAAGTAATCGAAACGTCGGGAGTATGTAGTTTTTACAATAATAAAATACGAGTGGTATAATCCGAAAAATATTTTCATTTATGATGCTATTTTGTCTGACTTTTTATGAAAACAGAAACATCACACTAAGAATACACAGAGGAATTATATTGTTACAGAGTAGTCATATTTAAACTATCACCAAAATCAGAAGGAGTTACTGGCAAATACTGCAGTTATCTTAGCCATAACCTAGTTAAAGTCCAGGTATTGTAACAGTTTTGATGGCCGTCCCAAAAATATTTCTACTGAGTTTACTAGAAGAATAACAATCGATCAATAACCGCGTAATTTATTCTATCCAAATCATTGATATTTGATTTCATTGTTTGCTTTAATATTATTTCTACTTTTTTTTTATGTATTGTAACCCATAAATAATACTATAAAATGCTTATTGTGAAGACATAGCATTGTACTCATTATTTAAAAAAAAAACGAGTAATATGTTATAATAAAATTTCGTTATTAACTTGAACATACGTTTAAAATATCTTCGTACTCTGATATATTCTGTAATCAGGTTATTTGTGATGTAAATTGAAAATGTGGAAGCCGTCTGTATGATAAATCAGTTATATATTAGACGAAGGAGTTTTAATGAAAACAGTTGCACAATAATACTTCTCAACAGCTACTGTGATTTAGTATATATTTCAAGTTATGTACAACACTCCCCTCGGAATTAACGACAGTTTTGAATACTTTCAACTTAATATTCACAACACGAAATGAAAGTAAATGTTGTCGTTATAGAAGAATCATTATATTTTATGCTCATTATAACTTTTTCTGTCATAATGTTTTAAGGATAGTAATTTTTATGGACTTTCTAATATTGGTGTTCATTTAAAATCGTTATTATTTTAAAATAGTTCAATTAACGAAAAATGTGAAGTCATAGTATGGGCTACTATTGCTAAAAAGAATATATGTATATATTTAAATAAACGATTCCGCATATTCCTTAATTAGATAAGCGGAAGCCATAGAAGAATTTAAAGTAGAAACTGATGTATCGAAATACATTTGTACCTGTATATATAAAAACTGTTTATCTTTTAAATTATAGCCTTTCGACTTGTACAATGCTCGTAACACATTTTATATAGAGTAATACTTTCTCAGTTGAAAGAAAATAGGGCTGGCGGGAATCAGCTGATCGGGATTGCGCAGTGCGCAAATATTTTGAGCGGGGGTGCAGGGTGTGCGAGGCGGTAGGGTTGCGGAGGGAGGGGAGGGGGGAGGTTTTAGGGCGACCGACGACGCCTGGCCAGTGCGCCGCCAGCAGCCTCCAGGAAGGCCTGAGAGGAAGCCTCGCTCCGGTCTCCCGCCGCCGGTGCACACACGCTCAATGCCCTAGCTGTGATATTTGTACAAAACTTCTCCGGAGCCATGCGGGCGTTGTTCGTCAGACAGACAACCGCTGCCTGTGTACGATTATGAGAGACGACGACGGCGCGACGGAGTCTTGTAGCAAAATGTTTGACATGTCAATTCAGGAGATAAACGGCAAGGGGCCGAAGAAGCGGAAAAAGTCGTTGGAGCCAAACTGTGATACAGACCGGGGAGAGTGTGGGAACGAGAAGGTCGACGTTAAGAATGGAGGAGGAGTGAACGAGGAGTCCAAGGAACAGCGAGGAGTTGGAGACAAGAGTGTGGAGCTGCTGCACTGGCGCGACATGCCGCAACATCTACAGTTCAATCCGTACGTGTTGACCGGCTACCGGCCGCTGCAAAGCTTCGGAGGCTGCGTACGCAGTCTGTTCTACTTCCACAATGAGACCATTAATATACTGACACATGGTAAGCTATTTATATGTATATTATATAATCTATATCACTGTCACCGCTGGATAATATATGACTTATAGTTTGAGACTCAGTGTTAAAAACATAATTATGTTATGATTAAAACCTCTTTCATTGATTAGACAGAATTGGTCACGATCGCTATAAAAAAATAAAACATTTAATATTCCTGCAGAGGGAAAAGAATTATCAACCCCTTTCTGTTATTTTTACATCGTACTGGATATTTATAAGTAGAGCCTCATTGTTACAGGGGTTGTCCCCCATTTAATTATAAGCACAAGTTGTTATAAAATAAAAATTGAAACTTGAAACTGAACCATTGTTTTAAATTTAATACTTTTTCATGTTAACTACATTTAATTCCAATGTTTTACATAAGAATTGTATTTAGAGAACCCTTCATATGAAATTATTTTTAATACAAACTAGATTTCTTAGAAATGTTTTAATAAGCAATGAGCATTTAAAATTAAAATTTTCTTTATTAAATTTCTGCTGACGGATTAAACCTTATTAAGACTAAGTAATTAAGTTTCATAGTGAAAACATTTTAAACCTTGATGTGGTTTGTCATAGACCTTTATCAGTCTATTTTCAGACTGTTTTACCTCAATCAACGAAAATATATTAGCTCTCCCATATACGGGAGGCAGATTTAGGTCTGTAAATATAGGGACGGATTTGTTTTAGAAACGTGAAGAGGTAGCTAAAAAAAACATTTGCTAACCTTGGGACGGTGTAAGAATAGCATCTATGTATATAATGGAAAGATTAATTAGGCAAAAATGTCTATATACCTATTACGTTACGGAACTTTTTTTTCCCTAGTATTTTCCAGTATAATATCTTTTTCTTTTTTTAGTAAAGAATTCGCAGATAACAATTCTAATTTGCATTTAAGCGGTCTTATTCAGAATGGAAATATTACTATAGTCTATATTGTTTAATTTATGAAACAAATTATTAGTACAAATTTTCAAATAAAAAAAATATTTATATTCAATAACACTATATAACTGTGACGTCAGAATAGTTACTCAACCATGTTTTCTGTTAATTCTTTATAACCTTAACCCTATTATCGTTAGCATAAATGAAGGCTTGTGAAAAAGCAATCTAGGAGAAACGTAAGCCAACTTAATGACCCGAAAAAACCTTCGTAAGGCAACTTTTCGTAACATTTACAATGGACACGTAGCATTCACTACGGATTTGTAGCCGCATGCTACGTTAAATTTAACGACCACATCTTTCTCCTGTAAAAGCATTTCTATTTACTATTTCAGTATAAATAAAATGTCATCTCTCAAATTTAAACACCAATCAGAAAGAAATAAATTGATAAAACTGTTATATTCTGGCCTATTTGTGTATTAAGTCACCTGTAAAACTGTTCAATTACTGCTTGTATTTTGTTAGCTTTAAAATTAAACACGAATTTATTCATAAGCGCCTGAATTATAAAAATAGCAATTCTGCATAACGTTGACAAAATATCAAAATCACACAGGAATATGTAAATAATACTCCAAGTAATAAATACGAAATGAAAAATGTCACAATATTTTATCAAATGTTGAAGGGTAAGCAATTGTGTATATAGCATTTCCAACGAAACAGTCCATTAGGCGCTCACGTCGATTAAGCTTAAATTGAATGTTCGAATAAAATAATGTCATTGTACATTAGTCAAAGATGTGGAACAACGAATAATATGACAAGAAAGAGTTATTATATCCATTTACATAAAACATTACGTTTTGATGTTGAGATGAGTTGACTTACCCTCAGCAATAGAAATAAGAAGTATAGTATACAAGCTTTCCGCTCGCAGCTTCGCCCGCGTGGAGTTCGGTTATATCGCGTTTCCAAGTGAACCTTTCAAAAGTCTGGGATAAAAACTATCCTATGTTCTTTCTTAAGGTCAACTCTATCTCTCTATAGTGGTTTAGGCGTGAAAGCGTAACAGACAGACAGACAGACAGAGTTACTTTCGCATTTATAATATTAGTAGGGAAGTAGGGATGTCACAACTTATAGAATTACATAGAGTAAAATTACAGAATTATAAAATAGATTACGTTCACTTCCTTATACATTTTTGTTCCATTATAGTAAAACAGATCGCCTCCATTCAATAGGAAGTTTCACTCTAAATGACGCTCCATCGATTCTTAAGATCGGTCACAAGATCGGTCACGGTTCGCTAACACATTACATAAGATTGGTCATTTCGTATTCAAGAACAAAACAAAATCATCAACAATACATACTAATACATTATTCTGTTCAAATCAATATTTGTGTGTGACAACTCATACCAACATGTAATATAATGGAATTATTTATTGCTTTTTATTAAGATAATGATCAATGAGAAGGACATGAAAATATATTTTCACCTACATATTTATAAATATTAATTTTAATTGTCTAAATTTATTAGGTATTTAAAGGAAAGCAAAAATAGTGTTGTAACTTGAACTTAAATTATACCTACCATAGAGCAAAATAGAATAACTGTAATCATAGATAATGACAGCCTCAATCAATAAAATGTTCACTGTAACTTACAAGGGGTTCACACAACTTAAATAATGCTCTTTACACGATCAAGTCAAACAAAACTAGTTATTATCGAGCATTTTAATATTCAATATTAATAAGTAATTAAATTATAATTATATGTTTATGAGTATTTTAATATTCATAATACTTTGAACGCCTGATGATTTAATAATAGCAATTTGAAAGTTTAATAATATTTTGATATGATTATGTAAAATTGTCAGTGTTTTTGATAAATTACTCTCGCGTTTCTGTCTTCTATCTTCGTGTTTTCTCTTTTATGACGTTCTCACAAATATTTCTATGAACGTATTTCTACGTATTTTCAATTTATAATACATATGAAATTCTGTAATAAATATAATATGCACCTAATATTTCAAATAACTATTGGTATTTGTACCAAATATATCCTCATTTATTTTAATAGTGTGAAATTTTCTTTAAATTTTTTGTATAAAATATATAAATAAGAAAGATAAACACTTGTATATATCTTGTACATTAATTATATCGAAAGTTTACCGATAACCAAAATTGTCTGTCTCATCGTTATGCGTAACCATTTTAATTAGTGTTATTACATGAGGGACATTGAGGGTAGGAGTAAGGACAAGGGATCGTCGGATATATGTTCATATAGGTATATGTTTTAATTACTGTTACAAGCAACCATTCATAGTTATAGGCAATACAAGGTTTGATACCTTTGATAAAACAAATAAAAGAAATATATCTTATGTACGTCATATATTTGTATTTAATCAGCTTTCCGCCCGCAGCTTCGCTCGCGTGGAGTTCAATTATATCGCGTTCCCAAAAGAACCTTTTAAAAGTCTGGGATAAAAACTATCCTATGTTCTTTCTCAATGTCAAATCTGTCTGTACCAAATTTCATTCAAATTAGTTCAGTGGTTTAGGCGTGAAAGCGTAACAGACAGACAGACAGAGTTACTTTCGCATTTATAATATTAGTAGGGATAATCATCATAGCAGCAGTATTGCAATCTTACCAGAGGTTTTTATCGTCTTACCAATTAGGAGGAGTTTTCGGTTTCTCATCCAATAATCTTCGTGAATACTACAATTTTGAAGTTATGAATGAAATACTGAAACGTATTTGTGACGAGCAATTCTTATAGTAAGCATATAGTTAACGGGTTAACTTATTTCAAGACCTATTTATAGAGTATATCTTTTTATTTTTCAACGAACTTTTTGATTTTCTTTGGAGTATATCGGAATTATGATTCAGTATATTTTACTATTGACTTTTTAGACGTTGATGAATTTATGAATTTCAAGGAAAGGTTTAAGATTTTATCCTTCTATAAAAAATATTCATCTTCCTAAAAGAAATAAGTGTTCTAATGATGTTCAGGATTTACACACGTACACTTTTAAATACAAGTACAGATTATGGATTTACTAAACGATTTTTTTTATTGAATTTTATTTAAAGCGATAGATCCTTGATCTCATATGACCGTGATCAAAATTGCTGTAAAATGATCGAAAAATAAGCCAAAATGTAATAAAATAATAATTGTATAGAATATAATCGAAAACTGTCACAAGAATTCAAACTTACCTAAGTTTTGACTGAATTACTATGGCCATTAGAGATATCATACTTTAAATTGTTACCGTATTCATTTTTTCTCTTTGTTAGATCTCGTGCCTTACAAATATTTGATTCTTGAGTTCAAAAGTATTTTCTAGAGAATTCTGTCTTATCATCAACTTTAGAAAGGTATTCTAACAAATGTCCAACAAAAAATAACTGTATAGATTTCTTGAGGTTTTGATTATAGACAATTCATCACTTCAAAGCTTATAACAGTACTGTATAATTTAAAGTGAAATTATGGATCAACCACTATTTCTGTATGGATTGTTTGTTGATGAGCATAAGTTAAATATTTGTACCTACTTTCAGACCGAAGTTATTTTTTTTGTTTTGAACAAAGTCCAAGTAAAAAAATGTATGACTAATATATTTTATTTCCGACTTTCGCTATTTTAAATTCAAAATATCTGTCAAATAACGTCTTTCACGCGATGTTTTTTAGTGCTTCAGTATGGTGCAGTTGCCAATTATAAGTATATCGGGAACTATGTAATAATTACATACATATATACATGTTACACATAGTCCACTATTGGTGATCAGACAAAAACTGTCACCGATTTTGCTAAAAATTTACCCAATTATAATGATTTAAACATCAACCATTTTTATAAATTTGTACACAATGATTTCTTCTCTCGAAAGTTGATAATTTAGTTCAAAATACATTTGATAAGCGAGCGTACTTCCTCCTCGGCGTGAGGGCGCTATGCCTCTTTTATCTTTTAAATCACACAATAGGCTTTGTTTTTATCACTTACTGTTATAAAATATTATCTTTTTATTTCCGTTT